AGTCCTTTCGAATAAAACGGAAAACCTATATTTTTTACCAAATAAAAAGGGAAAGAGATTTAGAAAATTTAGCTAAAACAAGAAGAAGAAAATTCATGTTGAAAAGCCAGCTTTGAAGCTCTCTTTCCCACTGCAAATTACAATGGGCGCCGTTATCCCTTCTTTCTGCAGTCTGTCCTTCCTTAAAAGTTCGATTTTCTGCATAAACATCAAACGGTTGTTAATTGTCTAATTAAAGCTAAGTGGGAAAAGAAACAAAAATAAGAGAGAAAAATAAACAAAGGCCAAATTTTTTCGTGGTCCTTGTAGTGGCACAACACTACTAATGTGACTCTTGTGGTGAAAAGGTTGTTAATTAAGCCCTGTAATGAGTCTTGTTGGTAACTGAAGTCCAAACCCACACTTTTGTTAATACTTCCGTCAAATAAACTCACGCGAGTTTTGTTAACAATTGAAGTTGAAATCCAAACTTTTGTTAGTTTTCTGTTAAACAAACTTACATGACTATTACGTGAAAGGGTTGAATTTGTCATTTCAATTCAAATTACATTTTATGCTTAATTTGGTGATTGGTCCACCAGTGAAACATATTTTGGTATAAAAAAACGAAAAACTGAATTACATGTTTAGATTTAGGAGATACAATTGCCATGGGATCCATCGCCAAGTGATGGAGGAGAAGAAATGGGCCGTCTACCAACTTTCTATGAGATCAATCACCAAATCAAACATAAGAAGTAATTTGGATTGAAATGATGAATTTGATCTGTTCATGTTATAGTTAAATAAGTTTGTTTAATGAATGACTGTCAGAAATTTGGGTTTGGACTTTCAATGGTTAACAAAGCTCACCATGGAAATTTAATTAATAATTTTTTGATCACAAATTTCACATTAAAAGTACCATGTCACCGCAAAAGCCATTAAAAAAATTTGGCCAATAAAGAAACTTGGAAGGACACGTTTTGTATAAATCTCCAACTGGACGTGATTCAAGTTTCGTACTTTCATGGAATTAAGTTAACACCCCTCCCTTATAGTTAAGGAAACCAACTCTCTGCAAAGAAAAAATTTCGTTTAGGTGGAAAATAGCGTTACTAATTTACTCAAATTATAATACATATTCTACTAATTTAATAATATACTTTGAGATGCAAAATATTCGTCACTCGTCTAACGTACTATTGCACGAACTAGAAACACCAAATTATATCTACACAATTATATCTCAAATTTCGAGTAATACTAAGAGCAACTCCACTGTAGGTGGATGCTCGGGGGACAGGCTAGAGGGTCCTAGGCCCTATGGATCGGCTCCAGCGTGAAGGAGCCCAAGTGAAGGTGGAGGCCTGAGCTTTGGGCCCGTGAAGAATTGCCAACCCAAGAGCCCGAGTGGATGTGACGCTAGGGCTGACGTCAGCCTGGCATTAGGCCTTTTTTTATTTTTTTACTGTCAGGCGCGTGTACCCCACTCGCGCGGGGGGGGTGCGTCGCCGACACAGTTTCAGAAAAATCAGCTCCCTTTTCAAATTCAAAAGTTACCGTTGGGAAGCCACGTGGCTTCCCACGGTCCGTTCGATCTCAACAGCTCTTTAACTTGGACTGTTCGATCTCAACGGTAAAAAAAATAAAAAAAAGTCTTATTTAATATCCACCGTTCGATCTGATATCAACGGTTGATATTAATATGCTTTATAAATAAATAAATAAAAGAAAAAATAGTTTTAAAATTAGGAAAAGTTATCGTTGTGACAGGTGACACAATCTAGAGTGTTGGAATTCAATTTTTTTTATATCCAACGGGAGAGATTAATTAGTCGAATAAAAATTTAAAAAAAATTGTAAAAAGTTCGAAAAAATTTCTAAAATTTTTTTTTAAAAAAAATTGTATTTGCCTTTTTATAAATACCTTCTCATTATCATTTACCTTACACCACAATTTCATATTTTCTCAACTACTTTCAATCACATTCCTGTCTTTCTCTCAACGTTTCAATCCATTTTTTTTTTCAACAAAATGACTACTAATGCAGATACGATGATTCTCTCGCTTCTTGAAGATGTTGCGTTGTGTACTAGCTGGGTTGAAGTTACTCATAGTTCGCTTATAGGTAATGAGATGCAGTTGCGAGAAATGTGGAGTCTTATTCATACCAATTATCTTGAGAAAATTGGTGGGAAAAGAACCAAAGAATCGATGTCCAGTCGTTGGAAATTACTTAGCCAATCATTTAGTAAATGGAGAGACGCCTTGGCACAAGCTAGTAGTAATATTCGAAGTGGGGAAAAATATTCAGATCAGGTAACAATATATTATTTATTTGGAAGTCAGAGATCCTGAGATTATGAACACGCCTTTAGAAGGAAAATCTCCAAATTCTAAATTTTTTTGGAAGTCAGAGAAAGCGGACGTGGTGTGAAGGAGGCGTGAAACGAGAGCAAGCCAAGATGGTCCTAGCACCACAAGAGAAGATCATCCTAGCACCACAAATTGGTTAAGTGATGATGAATAGAGTAGTTTTTGTAATCGGAGCCCATAATTTTCAAATCACTTTGGGTTGTAATTTATTATTTATTGAATATAGTACTTTATGTTGTTTCCAATTTATTGAATATTTATTCAAATGAATTTGGTAAGTTATTTATACTAAGAGAATATTTATTCAAATGACAAAAACACACCAAATAAAATTATATAAGCATACCGAATAATAAAAAACTCACTAAAGCTGAACTAAAAAAATTACATAAACATACCAAATAATAAAACACACCAAATAAAATTACATAATCATCCCAGGAAAACCACGTATCTCAGACTTCTTCAGAAGCCGTTCCAAGTCCATGTTTGTAGGTTTCCGGAGGTACTCTGCGTTGTAGATAGATTCGATTGCTCCGCAAAACCTCATCAGGGACTCAAGAATGGTTGATTTCCCCATCCTTGTTATCTCATCCACTTGGTCTACAGATGCTCCATATGCAAGCATCCGCAAGGCAGCAGTAATTTTTTGCTGAGGAAGGAGACCCATAGCACCAAAAGCATCCTTCTTTTGCACAAAGTAAGAATCATGGTTGCAAACAGCAATCATGATTTTGTTGAACAAATGTCGTTCCATTCTAAAACGACGTCTAATGTACGTATCAGGGAATGCACTATTATGGATAAAATAATCATCCAAGAGTTCCATACCTCGTCGTTTCCTGCTTCTATCAAGATTTTCGGAACGACTAGGCCTGCAGATCTGAGCCACAACTTGGACGACTTGACGGGAATGTGAGGCTCTGCCCATTCTTATTTCGTCATCTCTCCTTCTACGCTCCTCATCCTCTTCCCTCTCATTTTTTGCCACCTGGAGATTGAACATTCCTTCTGATTGGTTAAACAATTCTTCCTCTTCCTGATCGAGTTCCCGCATCATCCTTGAGGAAAAAGAAGACATTGTAAGAATGAAGCAAAAACTATGAATAATGATACAGGTTTTTGTGAAGAATGAAGCAGAAACTATGAATAATGATAGAGATCTTGAGAAAATTGGTGTGAGATTTGTGAGGATGGATGCTGGATTATATGAAGGATTCATAAAGGATTAGGTTGTAGATAATGCCACGTGACATGCCGTCATTCGTTAAAAATGGATTAGGTTGTAGATAATGTCACGTGACATGCCGTCATTCGTTAAAAATTTGATGGAAATCTATCCTCGAAGATTGTAAACAGATTATGACACGTGGCACGACGTGATTGGTTACTAATTTTATCAGAAATCCATCACCAATAATTGTATTTTCGGATAATGACATGTGGCATGCCGTCATTCGTTAAAAATCTGATGGAAATCTATCCTCAAAGATTGTAAACAGACTATGACACGTGGTTCAACATGATTGGTTAATAATCTTATCAGAAATCCATCACCCATAATTGTATTTTCGGATAATGACACGTGGCACAACGAGTACGATTAAAAATCTTATCGGAAATCCATCCCCAATAATTGTCTTTTTGGATTCTATGACAAGTGGCGCAACGAGAACGATTAAAAATCTTATCTGAAATTATAAATAAAATTATTTTGTATTATTTAATAATACTTCGGATAATGACACGTAGCACAATGAGGCAATTAAAAATCTTATCCAAAATTACAATTAAAATTATTTTGTATTATTTTATAAATAAAAAAATATTAATATTTTATTGCCTATTGTCAGGGCTATTGAAGTGTAACGGTGGAGATGCAAAAGGTGATTACTGTTCATTAAAGTCGGTTACAGTTTATCAGGTGGATTGAATAGTGAATAGCTTGAAGGGAGGGTTCCAATGCTGGAGTTGCTCTAAGTATCAATTTTTAAAATAAATCAATCTTGTTGGTTCATTATTGGATTCCAGCCTTCCTTTTTGAGCAAAAGTGTTTTATTGGGTTCAAAATACGAATAATATATCACGTATTCTTATATAAAAAAAATGCTTAGCTACTGAAAATTCAGCAGCTATTCATTTTTTCATCTAATAAGATTTGAACACATATTTAATTTGTTTACAATTTCAATTATTTGGACATGTGTTCAAATCTAATTGGATAAAACCATAAGCGGCTGCTGAATTTTCATTAGCCAAGTATTGCCCTTTATACAAATGAAGAGAATTTTTAATTTTTAAGCCGTAAATATTTACACGTATCACCTTATTTTTCAGTTCAAAAATCTTTCCGGTCGGTACAGACAAATGACAACTATTCACTGTCGATTATGATTTGAAATACTAAGATCGGGGATCAATTGCCAAACTTGTCTTGAGATTTTTTCTGTGTGGCTCAGAACCATCCACGTATAGCCCTCTCACTGGTGCACACCTCCCTGTCCCTAGATAGATAACATCACCGCTCGCCATTAGGCCTCTGACAAAAACTCCATGAACACAACGCTACTCGCTTTTACTAACAGAAACTCCACGCACTGCCAACAAAGCAGCTCCCTCCGACCTCGTTTTGAAGATATCCATGGGCCTCAAAGGCGGGTGGAGCGCGGCGGCCGTCGGCTTGGTTGCGAAGCTCTGTGACTCCTGCAAGAACTCGGCGGCGGCCTTGTTCTGCAGAGCCGACTTGACTTTTCTCTGCCTGCCCTGCGACACCAGGATCCACATCGCCAACAAGCTCACCACGCGCCACGAGCGCGTCTCGATGTGCGAGGTCTGCGACCAGGCCCCTGCCGCCGTCATCTGCAAGGCGGACGCCGCCGTACTCTGCGTCGCCTGCAAAGTCGACATCCATTCCGCCAACCCCCTCACCCAGCGCCACGAGCGGGTCCCCGTCGAGCCGTTTTACGACTCCGCCGAGTCTATCATCGCCAAGTCAACAGCTGCTGCCCCCTCATTCGTCGGCGCGGCCATCAACTACCTCGTCCCAAACGGCAACGTTTTATCTAATACTAAAGACGTAGATAACGACCCTGCGTCGAACTGGCTGATCCCCAACTCGAATTTCAACTCGAAGCTCCCAATGGATATTGCTCCGAACATTACAAAATCCTCTGGCGACCTCTTCTTCCCCGAAATGGATTTGCTGCTGGAGTTCAATAACCCCAACTCAATCCACACCATTTCGGGGCCAGGAACAGATAGTGTCGTTCCGGTTCAAACCGACCCGATTCCACCTCCTTCGTTGAAGATGAACCATAACATATCGGGTCCCGCCGATCAAAATTGCTTCGACATGGACTTTTGCGGTAGCAAGTTCTCGTCTTCGTTCAGCTATCCGACTCAGTCCCTCAGCCAAAGCGTACGTAATCCGAATTAAATTAAATTAAATTATCTTCCTTCGGATTTTCGGTGCAAAATTAATATTTGTCCCGAAATTTCGGAATTGTTTACTGAGTATTAGGGACTTTTACGTATTTTTCAGGTTTCGTCTTCTTCCTTAGATGTCGGAGTTGTTCCGGACCAAAACTCCCTATCCGATATATCGTATCCTTTCGGCCGAACCGCCTGCAACAGCATTTCTGAACCGGGCGATGTTTCGTACTCTTTCGGGCAAAAAACCAGCAACAACGTTTCAGAACCGGGCGATATATCGTACCCTTTCGGCCAGAAAGCCAGCAACAACGTTTTGGAACCCAGCGCACGGGTCTCGGCAACCCCTGCGAGTCAACCAGCAACTCAGCTCTGCGGACTGAACAGGGAGGCGAGGGTGCTGAGGTACAGGGAGAAGAGGAAGAACCGCAAGTTCCAGAAGACCATCCGATACGTTTCCCGGAAAGTGTATGCTGAAACTCGCCCCAGAATCAAAGGCCGGTTTACGAAACGCACCAAAACAGAAACCGAGACGTTCGATCTCATCTATGGCTCCGGCTCAGCGACTTTCATCTCGGACCCACAATTCGCCGTCGTTCCGACGTTTTGACAATGGGGATAATCTATTTTATTTTCAATTGTCGTTTATTGATTGACCGGTGAAAGCACCCAAAAGGCCTTTATTTAACTATTTGGTTCGTTTTGGTTTTTTAACTTTTCATAGGGCCTTGCCTTGGAAACTCTCTGCTTTCGTTTTCACCCGATGAAATAATAATAATAATAATAATAATAAAAATAAAAAGATCTATTATTATGTATCTATTTTTGAATGTATATTTTCTAGTGCAGTCTTGCACTCTTAAGCAGGGGCGTTAGATGGTCAATCCAATTCAAACCAAACATCCTTAATTTGGGCTTGGGTTGGATTCAGGTTTATGTGGATTTATTTGGATTTGTGTTTAAATTGGGTTTAGGCTAACTTAGGTTGGGTTTGGGTTTATCCAATTTATCAAATTCAATCTTGTAACACATTAATTTATAAAATAAATTTCAAATTTTGAACCAAATGATGCAAAACTATTTAAAATTCAATTTTACACATCTATATCCTTACAAAAATAAACCAACTAGTGTGGGACGCATTTCTAAAGTTTCAAACATCCAAAGTTGAAATTAAATGACAAGATAATACCAATGTTTTAACCAAAAGAAAAGTAAAAGCAACACTAATGTTCATTGTTCAAATGAAAGCCAAACAACAAACTTCATGTATAGCCCTCCCAAAGTTGTATCTAGTTTATATAATATGAAGTTGGATAGGTGATACATGCATGAGCTATTCGGACTAGAAATTGAGTTGGGCTTGGATTGACATGGACGGGTAAAGCATCAACCCAACCTAACCTAATAAATAGTCGAGTTGAGGTCGGGTTGGATTTGGGTAGGTTTTTACTTCATTCTAACCCCTTCAATCGGGTATAAAATCTAGTTGGGCATGGGTGGATTCGAGTTGACCTAATCCAAGTTGCACCCCTACTCCTAAGATCCTCATTTTGAAGCATTGTAAGGATCAAATGCATATCAGCCACAAGATTTTATTAATTTATACTAGTCAATAAGCACACACTCTGTGTGTGTGAACAATTTCATTTTATTTTTTGTTTATTTATTTATTAAGGAATGTGATTAGTTTTTGAAATTTTAAAAAGAGAATAAAAAAATGATGGTGGAACAATTTCTCTTAATAAGTGCATATTTTATCTTAATATTACATTAGTACTGTTTTGTCCTCATTGTCACATCCCCGCCCGGGCCCCCACCACATCCCAGGCTCGACTTCATCGTAGCAGGATATTGTCCGCTTTGGGCCCTAACCACGCCCTCACGGTTTTGTTTTTGAGAACTCACACAAGAACTTCCCAGTACGTCACCCATCCTAGGATTGCTCGCTCGCAAACTCGCTTAACTTCGGAGTTCCAAAACTCGAAGCCAGTGAGCTCCCAAAAGGCCTCGTGCTAGGTAGAGATTGGAATATACATATACGGCTCACATGATCCACTCCCCTGGGTGATGTAAGATGTTACAATCCACCCCCCCTTAAGGGCTTGATGCCCTTGTCTGCACACCACAGCCAGGGTTAGCTCAGATACCAAATTGTCGGCCGTTGGCACACTAAGGGGGGTGGATTGTAACATCCCACTTCGCCTAAGGGAGTGGATCCTGTAAGCCTTGTATGTATATTCCCATCTCTACCTAGCACGAGGCCTTTCGGGAGCTCACCGACTTCGGGTTCCATTGGAACTCCAAAGTTAAGCGAGTAGCACACGAGAGCAATCCTAGTGGTGGGGGCCCGGGCTGGGATGTGGACAATATCGTGCTACGATGGAGTCGAGCCCGGGATGTGGTTGGGGCTCGGGCCGGGATGTGGCGAGTAGTGCGCGAGAGCAATCCCAGGATGGGTGACCCATTGGGAAGTTCTCGTGTGAGTTCCCAGAAACAAAACCGTGAGGGTGTGGTCGGGGCCCAAAATGGACAATATCGTGCTACGATGGAGTTAAGCCTGAGATGTGGTGGGGGCCCGAGCCGGGACCCAATAAGTGAAATTAAAGGAAAAACACAAAATGGAGAACAGAATAAATCTCTCTCTCTCCCTCTCTCATGCAAAATGTCAAATATCTACCCAACCTACGTATACAGTTTTCAAAAATTTCATTTTTGCTGTACAATGGGTAGGTGCAAAAAAAACTAAGTTAGATGATTGAAAATAATAAGAAGTTGTTTAGATGGACACACACCTACAATTTATAAAATAATTACTTAAGAAATATAATAATATCTAAAACAACACATTTTTGGGGTGCGTAGCGCTCGTGATGCAACAAAAGCAAATTAAAATCTATGAACAATTAAAAAATTCATTTTCTTATTTTGCTTCATTGAGTTGTATAATATTTTAAGTCTTTGGAATTAAATTAATATAACCTTATGGCTAACTTGCATTTCGTCCTCATAAATTTTCAAAATGAGGATATTAGGTGAGGACTCTTTTATTGGGTAAGAATTTGTTGTGGTGTTTTGGGCAGTGTATGGTTCGAAGGGTTTTGCTTAAATTAGTAAAACGTCAAACCAATAGCATGTATACATACGTTTTGAAGTCTTTCTTCTTTTTTTTTTTTTTTTTTTATTTTTTTTTTTAACTCTTTTCAATTCTTCTATTTTTTAAGGTGTAAGATAAACAATCCAACAGTTCCATGACAAAGCCATGTCACCGCAACGCGGCTAATCCAAATTCTGTATCAAATTTATAAGAAATGTGTGTGTGTGTGGGCACGCCTATATATTTTATATCTTCAATTCATTAATGAGAGTCCAATTTTAAATTTCCGCCGACTAAGTATAGACAGATACCACTTTATCAAAGGGTAATTAGTGTATATTTTACAAGTAAAACCGTGCAGACGTTGAATATATATATATATATATATATATATATATATATATAAAAGAAATTAGGTGTAACAATTTGTCTCTAATTTTATGACCTTATAAATTTTAAAAGTGTGAATTGACGAAAATGCCCCTAGAAACATGGATCTTGACTTTCGTTGACCATCGTTTAGAGGAACGTATGACCTGTTATTTTAGCTTACCCTTATAGAAATCAACGTTATGAACGCGTAGGCACAAGCAGAATCGAATTCCGAGTTACGACGAAGATGTTACAGATTTACGAATCCGAAAGATTATTTTTTTTAGAAATTACTATTTAATTATTTTATATTATTATTTAAATGTTTTCTAATTAGATATTTTTAATATTTTATTAATTTTTCTTGAGTGTGAGGCCCACACCCACACTAAACTCTCCACTCTTTCTTTGACACGTGTTTTACTTTCCCCCACACTTTTGGGGACAATCTCTGCCCTCTTCCCTCAGACTCTCTCTCGTCCCTCTCATCCTTTCCGGCTCTCTCTCTCACTCTAACTTCCCCTCTCTATGAGACTTGCTAGACAACCACACCCACCATCCTCTCCAACGAGTATCATCGCCACGAACCCAAAGTCCACCTTATCTCTTGGCCGTGAAATTGAATTGTCATGCCCCGGACTTGGGGTCGGTAATAAAAACTCGAATCCAAATCCAAAACGTGAGTTAAAAGCTCAATAAATAAAAGAAAATTGACACGGGTTGGAAACTAAATTCCTCTTATTAAAATAATTCATGATTCTTAAACAAATCAACAATTCTTTACAACTTACAGTAAATAGATGAATAAACTTTCTATTCTCCAATCTAACCTGATCTCATCCTGCCTACCCTCTTGAATGTCTAGTTCGTAAACATGCATAACAATAGAGGGATGAGCTTCAACAGCTCAGTAGCGACATAACCTTATCACAGTGCAACCTCTTCGGCTACCCCTGTTAATTTATATAATAGAACACGCGGACTTGCATGTCTTATACCATACATTTTACCACTGCAGTGGTGATTCGAATGTTCTATTATAGAAACTAACCCCCCATACGATATCCCAAGTTCATAAACCCCTTTTGCTAGCCATCTTATCTAATTCATTGATCTCCAGCCCAAATCACCCACATCGACAATTATCCCGCCGATATCCTATTCTAAGTTGCACACCGGGTTCGCCTAGAACTAGTTTCATAATGAATAGATTCAACTACACAAAAGATCCTTTCCAACTACCCTCATTTCCCGAATTCCAATCTCAACACTGAAGTTCCAACCACATCTCACAACATGAGTGATGCACAAATAATGTCATTTCATCTTTCACATGTATTACAATATATTCTCAATGAATAACATTCCAGCAATAATTCCATAACCAATAACAAGTAAACACTTAACTGAAGCAATTAGCCAATTAATATCTAACCGCATTAATCAACCAAAAAGATCAAAAATATTATAACACTTTACAAAATTTAATAAAATCAATTTCCATAAAGGCCTACCTTATTTCCCCTACTAGATTCCAAAGCTAAAATAAAGATCCACGTCACTACCGGAATAGCTAAGCTCCATGTACTTATCCACATCACTACCGAAATAGTTAAGCTCCATGTACTTGAGCAAGTTCCTTGATCGCTCCTAATGCCATGTGTATTTCTTCCACTCTATTTCTTTTCTAAACTCTCTCCACATAAACACACACACACACACACACGCATGCACGCACGTGCACGCTCACACACACATGCACACACGCGCGCACGCGCACACATACACATAATATACGTGAATTGCATGCACAAGCATGCAACATTTTGCATGATGTAAAAGAATGGAGGGGAAAGCTTCTATTTATAGTAGGAGAAGCCGGCAACTTAAAAGCATCTCATTGGTGGATGTGGCGGCAACTAAGGTAAGATTGGTTCGAAGATATCTAATTTTAGGGGAAAATTTTATTTTTGGGGTTTTTTAGCTTTAACCCTTCAAGAATATTGAAATTTAAAATAAATTTGGTGTTAGATTACATATTGATTATAATCCCTTGATGTGTCCTTAATTCAAAATAATTAATGTGCATTTTATTTAATGTCTCCCATTAAATATTTAAATTTATTAACATACAAATTTTAATTTATTTTTTGACCAAAAATGAGTTTTTCAATTTATTAATTTTATTTAACATTCTTCAAACTTGAAAGACTCAATTAATGTACCCAAATGTTAGTACCAAAATATAGGCTTGGCAATTCTTGACACAACCCGATAACCAAACACGGCATGACATGAAATTAACAGGTGTTTGGGTCGACACGATAATGAATCGGGTCGTTATCGGGTAACT